GGACTGTAATGACCGATGCCAAGGACTGTAATGACCGTTGCTAAGGACTGTAATGACCGTTGCTGAGGACTGTAATGACCGTTGCTAAGGACTGTAATGACCGATGCCAAGGACTGTAATGACCGTTGCTAAGGACTGTAGTGACCGATGCCAAGGACTGTAATGACCGTTGCTAAGGACTGTAATGACCGTTGCTAAGGACTGTGATGACCGCTGTCAAGGACTGTGATGACCGTTGCTAAGGACTGTAATGACCAAAGCTAAGGACTGTAATAATGACCGTTGCTAAGGACTGTAATGACCAATGCCAAGGACTGTGATGACCAAAGCTAAGGACTGTAATAATGACCGTTGCTAAGGACTGTAATGACCAATGCCAAGGACTGTGATGACCGTTGCTAAGGACTTTAATGACCGAAGCCAAGGACTGTAATGACCCTTGCTAAGGACTGTAATGACCGTCGCTAAGGGCTGTAATTATCGTTGCTAAGGACTGTAATGACCGCTGTCAAGGACTGTAATAGTGAAATGTTTCCACACAAATCAGAATGTTTTGCAAATTATTTGGCTGGCCCACTTGCAATGCCTTCGCGGCCCACTAGGGGTCCGTGGCCCACAGGTTGGGAACCGCTAATCTAAATGAAGGGTGTCTCCTCACCTTCAGTTTTTATAGGACTTTAAAATCTCTTTAATTGACAAATCTTGTTGCTAATTAATTTCTTGGTGTTATGAAATCTTATCAAAATGTGTAATCAAAAGACCTGGCGTTCATCAGGCGGCCCGCCCGCTCCTCCCAGCTCTCGGAGACGTTGAGCAGCTCCTGCAGACGGGCCATGTCTCTCTCCAGTGAACGGTGAGATGTGAGGCCCACCCCCTGATCGATGAGCCTCCTCAGGGTCTCCAGGCTCAGGGGCTGTTTCCCAGCGCTCTGAACCCCCTCCAGCCAGCGCGCCTGCTCCAGAAGCTCTCGAAGCCTCGGCAGCTCGGGCAAACCCACGTCGAAGTCGAAGCTGACATCCAGCAGACTCTGGATCTCCGTCACGCTCGGCCTCTCGTCCAATAAAACCTTCTCGCTGTGCTGCTGGAAGTCCTCGATGCGGTTCAGGAGCTCCTGGAGGACGGGGAATACAAGAGACACAAATCAATGCTTCTGCAGAACTGATTTTATTATCTATCAATCAATTAATCAATGTTTGTTTATATAGCATCTTTCAATACAAGGCAATTCAAAGTGCTTTACAAAAACGAAAGACATTAACGATCTCCTATCATGCTATTTCTAGGCATATATTATAGGCCTCAGATATATACTGGATAAAAAGGTTTTTATCTATCTATTATATACATTTTTTTACATATCTTTCATATAAATTCAGACATTTTTCTGGATAGTTTTTGGACATTTTCCAGATATCTCCAGCATATTTTGCCGATATTTATTTTACGTCTTTTTGTGATATTTTCCCCACATTTTTCAGAATGTTTTTTTTTATATTAATCATATATTTTTCTGATAATCCTCAAACATTTTTGGGGACATTTTGCAGCATCCTACCTTGAGTTTGGGGGCCTGAGGGAGGCTGCAGGACAGATTGTAGAGCTGCCTCACAAACGACCTCAGCTCCTCCACCGTCAGCTGGCTGCACAACTTCCCGTTCCCACAGCGGTTCCTGAGAGAGGATCCATCACAGACGTTAATTCTTCTTCCCAAGTGGAGACAGAAGCTCTATTCATCTGGTGTGTATTTGTTACCTGGTCTGCCTCTTGCCGTTGAGCAGCTGCTGAGCCACAGCCGAACACTTCTCGGCGTCTGAAGCCACGATGCGGAGGCGTCGCAGGAGGTCGTTCTCCGGGAACAGTTTGGACTCCGACTGAGAGAGAAGGGAGCGAAACACCGGCAGACCTGAGAGGGAACGACACCTGGTTATAAATCAGTGTGATAAATCTGTGGTGGCGTTTTAATCCGTTTCTACATTTAAAATCCACTTTTCCTCTATCGGGGTCGTGGGTTATGACGCGCCTCTCTTTGCTCCAAACAAACTTTGTGGAGATCGTTGTATCGTTGAATCACATCAGATTTGTTCTTTGATCAAGGCGGCATACAAACATGAAGACACACTTCCTGGCTTCAAAGTAACTACAAGTTCTCCGTATCAAAAGGGAACAAAAAGAACACGGTCAGAAGACTATACCGCCTCCCGTCTAATCACAAACAGCTGTGTACCATTGTCATGCCATATAGAGGCACGTGCACGTCATACCCAACAGCGCACATTAAACAGCAAATAAGTGAGACTTAACATATTTTAAACCGCAGTGTGACTCACAAAACAGTCAAGAGTTTACTCTAAATCCTATATATATATTAATCAGACAAACATTCAAACCATAATGATGAAAGGAAAATGGCAGTTACACATCCATCCAATAAAGCCTCGGAGGGTGGCAGTGGTTTGTGAATCACGCAGTCATGCTCTTAATGCTTGCTACCCCTTTTCCCTCAACCTATCCTAAGGGAGTGCATGTACGTAGACACGTTAGTTTAGCTGCTATAGGCTTGGACTGTTGGGGGGGGGCACCTTACTCCGTCTTTCTGGCTGTTTGTACCTGTGTACTCTCATGTTCCGATTAACCCAGCTTCCCCCAAATCTCTTTTTTGTGTCCATATATACGCCGGGATCCTGAGTCGAGGCTGATCCTGTTGCTGTGGTCGTGTGTCCTGGATCCTCTATCCTGAGCACTGGATCTGAGTCCTGGACTTCGAGTCGTGGCTGAACCTGTCTCTGCGGTCCTGCCTGACTCTCACCATACTAGTTCCCTGATGGCTCCCACAGGATTGCTGACATCCTTGTGGATTCATCTTCTTATTATAGACACATGCATTTCCAAACATTTGGTCTACCTACGCTGTAAATGTATTATCTTTTCAATTTACACACGGCATCTATTGCACGTCTGTCTGTCCTGGGAGAGGGATCCCTCCTCTGTTGCTCTCCCTGAGGTTTCTCCCATGTTCCCCTTTAAACTGTGGGTTTCTCTCTGGAAGTTTTTCCTTGTACGATGTGAGGGTCTAAGGACAGAGGGTCTAAGGACAGAGGATCTAAGACAGAGGGTCTAAGGACAGAGGGTCTAAGGACAGAGGGTCTAAGACAGAGGGTCTAAGGACAGAGGGTCTAAGGACAGAGGGTCTAAGGACAGAGGGTCTAAGACAGAGGGTCTAGGAC